CAACGGAAAAAAGCTCCGAGGGTTGAAGTTCCTCAAAGTTCCATTTTACTAGAGGTGTCATATTGGCACATTTGGGAAAACCGGAATCTGAGAGTTTCCAGGTGTTCCCCACCCAAAAGAAAGTTAAAGTCCCTGCCCAGCACCCACATGTCCATCCCATGGCCCAATCAGGCACCGTCCCAACTGGAGATTCCTCCCAGTCACACCCCTCCAGGTGCAGGGCAAGATGTCCTTGACTCTCTGAGAAAGGAATGTTATTTTGACTATATATCTCCCATACTCCATATAATCCCCGCTCCCAATTTCCCACAGCATTAAATGTGGAAGGCCTGAAGGCCCAATGCAGAAGATGAATTCCTGGCCTGACACAAAGTCAATGGGGAAGCCAGATTAAGTTAATAACTGGGGTGATTCACTTAGCAAGAAAAGTCGGGGCAAAACTCAATAAATTCCTCACTTTGGCAACCTAAATTCTGGGCTCAATTGTGTTTGTAAGTTGAAGACTATCTGTATCACCATCATCCATCCATCCATCCATCCATCCATCCATCCATCCATCCATCCATCCATCCATCCATCCATCCATCCAAGAATGTTTACCATAATATCAAAAATATGCAGACTTGGTGAACCAAACTTCACAGATGTTGCACAGAATAGAATAGAATAGAATTCCTTATTGGCCAAGGGTGATTGAACACATGGAGAATTTTTTCTTTGGTGCATATGCTCTCAGTGTACATAAAGAAAAATAAAATAGGAATACATTCATCAAGAATCAGAAGATACAACACTTAGTGACAGTCATATGTTACTAATAAGCAATCAATTACTGATTGGTTACTATTAAGTCTAACAAGACTAACTACTACCGTGTTTTTCGGAGTATAAGACACACCTTTTTCCCTCAAAAAAGAGGGCTGAAAATCTGGATGCGTCTTATACACTGAATGGAGCATTTTTGTCCTCCCCAAACCCCGCCCGCTTCACCAAAATGGCTGTGCATAGCCTTTAGGAGGCTTTCAGAGTGCTCCTGGGGGCTGTGGAGGGTAGAAATGAGCAAAAATGGGCTGTTTTTTGCTCAATTTTGCATCCTCCAGCCCCCAGGAGCACTCT